AGAGACAAGAGCGGAGGAAAGGAGGAGAACAACAAAGTGTAAAAAAGTCAAACAAATCTGCATTATTGCCCCGAGCTCTACTGTCTGCCCGTTTGTGTCCCCCCCTCCAGTTTCAAATTTGTTTATTATTATTATTTTTCAGTAAATTAGCTCAGAATAATTGGATGTTCTGTCTACACCTGTTGATGTGAGGCTAATGCAGGATTTGCTAGCTTGATGCTACCGGCATTTAGCGGCTGTGACTCAACAAATTGCCACTTAAAATGTATCGTCAGCAATGTATGACAAGCAGACTGCTTGTTTAATGTTAGACTCACACCGATAGCTCAATATGATCATAACACGATTTCTTTCATATCAGAGATCAGATGAGGTGGAGCTGCCTCCAGCAATAGAGAGAAGCAGCAGCAGCAGCACAGGGTTGCAGCAGGTATGTTATATGCTGTAGTCAGGTGATTTAAATGTATCAATGAAAGGAAGAAGTGTAGGCTACATGATAAGAAGGGAATTCAGTTTGAATAAAAGTAATACAATACAGTGTAACACTGTACTTTATTACTTTTTAATGTACAAATACTACTTTTAATACAAATGCCAAGGCAGTAAACTTAGGGGAAACACTGCAAAGGATTACTTTAAAAATGAATACATATAATTAAACAATTCATATACATATAATATATAATATTATTAATGTATAAAGTATTCCCTTAAGAAAACAAGCATTAAAGCATCTTTCCTTAGTATGTAGAGAATTTCGATTAGCTCTTTTCATGGCTGACTCTTACAGATGATGTCTTTACATTCTGAATCTTCCCAGGCAAAAGGATGGTTTGGTTTGTATATGAAGGGGCTGCGGGACATTCACGGTGACTTGCTGATTCCCTTGCTATTTGCTCAGACTTTCAATAAGGGAGGCCTCACCCCCCATTGTCTGAGAGATTAGATGAGTCAGCACCACTCAGATTCAGCTCAGCCAGGGAGTGACCACTTTAAAATGTGCTTTCGGGTCATTCAGAGCAGCACGATGACGGGAACAGTAGAACAAGTTGTTAAAGGTGTGGTCTCTGCGATGCAGGTTGAACACTAAAGTAAAGTCTGCATTTTCTTACCTTGAGTATCACACATTTTCCTTGTGTTTTACATCGGTCTTTTCTGAAAACCAATGTTTATATGTTCCTTAAGAAGCTTCAATGTAAGAAAACATATTTATTCACTGGGCAGAGACCCTCAATGGGATAGAAGAGGTCAAGACGTGCATTCAGTTATCAGTGTGTGTGGTACCTGCAGTCTTGCCGGGGGTTGGCTACATATCCTGGGTACGATCCTTCGGTGATGTGCCGGCACATTTTGCTGTCTCTGTCTGAAGGCAGCAGCATTCCGGCTCGCACCATCAGACCCAGGCAGTGGTCGAATGTGTTCCTCTCCTCTGGACCGTCCTCCGTGAAGAAACAGTGGCCCAGCGTGTCATAGCCCACCACGTCCTTCACCTGGGGGCAAAACAGATGCTTTTTAAGGAAACACAGGATCATCACACTAGTGCAAAGCCTTGGTCCTCAATTTGGAGAAATCATTTTCAAAATTGACTGAAACTTTCCAGGGCTTAATTTAAGATTCAACCTGGAGGAGGGGGGTTGCTCTTTTGTTACTTAAAACATATCATACAATTTGACTGAAAATGACTGAATACTGCAAGAAGTGAGACTCTAAAACATCACTTCAGAGTATCTTTTCTTCTTGTCTCTGGGCACAGATTTATTGGGATATTGTGTTCTAAGATAGTGCCCCAAACATTCAGATGAAGGTTGCTCACTGAATGCATCTGTTATAAAAGGATGTGGATCAATGTCCTTGGCTGACTTCCTGCAGCCATTGATGGCATGAAATTATAACCTGAAAATTACCCTTCAGCTATTTCTGTCTGCTCTTTCAATTGGACCTACAGATCAAACTGTGATTATAAAAATGTTTAGTTATTCAGGCCCTCTGAAGTTTATTTAGCAGTTTCTTCAGTAGATGTTGTTTCCGGGATAAACTAGGGGATTTAACATGGGAACCAACAGGAAATGGAGGTGATGAGGAGCAAAAACCTGCCTGATGAGCTATTTTTGTCAAATAAAAAACCCCAAAAGAAAGCTGAAAATGTTGACTGTACATACAGTACTGTAGTTTGACTGTACATACTGTAGTTTGACTGTACATACTGTAGTTTTTTAAAGAGATCCTATTATGCTTTTTACGGGGGTTTCCCTTTCCTGTAGTGTGTTATATAGGTTCTTGTGCATGTAAATGGTCTGCAAAGGCTAACCCCCCCCTCCCCCCTGCCTGAAATGCCTCCATTGGACTCCTTTGTTTACTTTTGTGACAAAGTGACATCACTATGTAACACTCACACTTCTATTGTCTAGTGCTTCAACACATTGTACGTTATAGGCTAAGGGGCGGGACATCTCTAAGCTGTTGACCAATCACAACAGATCCGGCCAGCTAACCAATCAGAGCAGACCGGGCTCTGTTTTCAGACAGAGGGTGAAAAGACAGGCAGTATGAGAAAAATAAAAGAGCTTTCTGAACATTAAAGGTCCCATGTCATGGCCATTTCTACTGATCATAATTCCATGATCCATCTGATGTGTGTTTATGTGTTACAATGGTGTTTGTTAGCAACCAGAAAATGACAAACAGATGAGAATGCTGTGTGGGGTCTGGGTGCCGTATTGGCGCGACGTTGCGGGGCTCGCTGCTCCGCCCTTTGAGACTCGAGGAGCCGACAGCGTGAGCTGGATTACTGGTGTCGTTTCCTGGTTGCTGCGAGACAGCGAGACAGCGAGACTACGTGAAACTCAGCATGAACTCAGCCTGAGCACACACGTGAGTGTGTGGCGAACTGTGAGTGGAGATCCACGCAGCTGCGGCTGAGAAAAGATAAGGTTGAGTGTGCCGGCGAAACTCCGCGAGTATCGCGGCTGAGAAAATATACGGCAGAATGAGTGTGTGTGTGTGAGGAGCTCCACGGATTGGTCCATTTGGACCTGGGCATGTTCACGTCACTGTACCCAGGAAGAAAAAGAGAAATGTCCAACGAGGTGTTCTGGGGCAGCATAGACAGGTATTTTCTGTGTTAGAGTTGTACTCCCTACAGGGTGTACTTTGAGGGTTTGTGACTCTGCAGACCGTTTACATGCAGAAAAAGCTACATAACACACAAGGGGACGGGTAATAACCGGAAAAGCATGACATGGGACCTTTAAAGCATGGAGACATGTCCCAGTAGAGACACTAGATACTGATATACACCTGAAAATTAACATAATATGTCCTCTTTAATTTAGTTTAAATCCATTTCAAGTTCACATACACACAGGAATGTTTTTTGTTGTTGTCATAAAGTGTTTTCAATGAAGTGTGTCATCAAGTGTGGGTGTTTTAAATGTGACCTGCCAATTGAAAATGTGCTCTGACCTAAATCTAAAACTATTTAGGTCAATCAAATGGCAACTTTATACTATATATACAAGTTTTCTATTGCAGGAATTGTGCTTATTCACAAGCGTTAGACACGAAGATAACACCTGAACAATAAGCATATTTCCCAAAAGGTCTAACTTTTTCTTAATTATGCTTACAAATACTCTAAATGTATTACAATTGAAAAATTAAACTTGAATAAATCTTCCTTACGTACCATCAGTCCGTTGGAGCTGTGGATGGTGACGCAGCGGGAGAAGGAGTGGTGGATGGACAGGTCGGTGACAGCTGTGGGGGGGTCGTAGCCCCCCCTCTCGTCCACGTCTCCGTTCATATGGAAATGAACTGGGTAGTGTCCCATTGTTTGCTGGCCCATGTGCTGCAGCTCCACCCCCGATATATGAACCGCCCGGAAGCCCCGCTCCACCTGAAGAGGACCGCAGATACACGTCAGTCACTTCAAATCAAATTGAGGTATTAAAGGTCCCATGTCATGTCCATTTCCACTGATCATAATTCCATTGTTGAGGTATACTAAAATAGAAAAATACTGTGCAATTTTCCAAACTCACATTGGTTTCGCATACAGCATCTTTGTAAAGTATGTGCATTCAGCAGTATTCACTTTCTCCACTAAACGGCTCGCCTCAGCCTCGTGTTATGATCATATTGAGCTATTGGTGTGAGTCTAACATTAAACTGTTAAGCCCGAGAGACCCCGGTACCAGGGGCCTCCCGCAACATCTTGCAGGAAACAGTGTCTGAGGGCATGTTCATTTAATAAACTATGAATGTTTTATATCCATGTAATGGAAAGAAACTCATCTAACTGATCATTTTAATTTTGTTTTCGAAGAAAACCCCACAATGCTAACGCTGAGCCTTTGAATTAGCAACGAGCGAAAAATGCTTATTTTCATGTCGAAAATTGCTCCAATGCAAAGAAAGTATTTGCGTTTTGCCTTCCAGGGGATAGCCTACGAGTACAACAGAGTACCGTTTGGCTACTCCCTATCCCCACGCACGTTCAGCTGGAAAGGCTGAGACGGGAGGGACTCTCTGACAAAGTTATTCAGACTATCCAGGCAGCAAGAGCAGGATCCAGATTTTGTTTAATTGATATATTTATGATCCACGTCACATATTCAGTTTCGGCGGCAGTTGTTCCTGTTTGTCTAGAAGTCTTCTCATCAGGGCTCTATAAATAGCGAACTACGGCAGATATGTAATATTTAATGCAGCTGAACCGTGTATTACAATGCCGTTATGTGATGAATTTCAAAGAGAAAAGCAAGCACACTCGGAATAAAGTATTATTTTATTTTTAAAAAATGTTTTCGGATTTTACATCAGCAGGAAGTCCGGTTAACTAAAAAACCCATAGATCCGTGGGTGAATAATGTCAATCACCACATTAAACACATCCCTTCACATTTACATTTTAATTTACATTAAAGTATTTTGTGAGGCCTTCTAACATGTTTTTAAATATGATTAGGGTTGTAGTTGAAGAGTTTGTAAATTATTGGGTTGCCTGACAACGGCATGTCCATTAATTCCACAACCGCACACATGGATTAACATCGATTTAATACATTAATGTAGCCTTTGTTTCTGCTAAAAGACGTGTCAACCAGCTGGGGCAACTTTGCGTAATAGAGTGACGGGGAGGGGCCCTGACCGACCGTCAACATGTGACGGGTTGGGAGTGAGAACGTGTTGCTGG